CTCTCTCTCTCTCTCTCTCTCTCTCTCTCTCTCTCTCTCTCTCTCTCTCTCTCTCTCTCCATATTTCTATTTATTTACAGGAGAAAAAGAGAGATTCTTGAATGAGAACAACCATATGCACAATTGTTCACTTATCTCCGTCGGGATTCAGGTGTCGCTTTTCTTTTTTTTTCACTCGTTCCAATTGCAACGGACGTAACACTTTTTTCCAAGCGTGAATGCGACGTCGGAGTTATGCAAGAGGAGCGAACGCATCGCCGCCGTCGCCGACGCCATCCGTTGCAATTATCCTCAACTCTTAATTGACGCACAGCCATGCCGAGGTGAGAGCATTAAAAGATCGCGGCGACGATCGTACGAAAAGTCGGACGCGCTCGACTCGACAATTTTGCGACAGAGGAGCGCACACAAGTGCATTCCGTTAGCGTTTTATCGGGTCTGCTGCACTCGGCGGAGGCGTTCAACCCGGCAACTCGCTGTGCGCACGCGAGTCTCGGCGCGCCCGGCTGTTTATAAATAAAACGGAACCACATCATCCTCAAGTTGTTTATCAAACCAGAAAGCGCGAACCGAGAGAGCCGCGTCGTTGATTCGCGTGGGTTGATGCTTTAGTTTTCGAGTTCGATCATTGTTTACTTGATGTTTAGAAAACTGCACATTTACACGCACATCTTGTAAAGTGTCTGTCGAGCGCGAGAGACGCGATACCTCCAGGTTATCGCAACATTACTCATGTGGCAACGTGATCTATTCAACACATTGTCAAGCGAATCATATCTCTCTAGAGGCATTGACAGACTCAGACTGATCGGTCGCTCACCTGTAGGTGAACGGAGATATTTTGTCAAGTGATCAGCGATATATCAAACGGTGCATTTTTACGTGAAAAAGTATGTTAATAGTTTGAAATAGTCTGAAATCGCGATTGTATAAGCGGTAAAATTCTGAAAAATTCGGTTAGCGCGCTATTTCACTTTCACAGAGTAAGTGCAAGATGGTGCAAGGTAACCGCGCGCGATATACGATACCGCCAATGAAACGAAACAGTTGCTTCACTCGTGCAATATCATTCTTTTGATCTTCGATCAACAGATTGGTTCGGCCGGCGTTGATCCGCTGCTTTCGTCCGGTTATCAAGAACTTTCATTCGATATATGCGCTACCGATCAATTGTACACTTTCCCGACTCTCTTTCACGAGCGACCACCGGTAGCCGCGTAGTCTTTGCGAGAGAACACGAAAGGGTGGTACAGCGTGTGTTAAGAAACGATGTCGCATGCTGCTGAACTTGGAGTTGAGTGTTAGCTCGTTTCGTAACGTTACACTGACGGATGTACGTTATAACACGCGACACGCATCTCAATGTGTATTGCGGTATCGTTCGGCACGAGGCGTTGTCCTCTGCGTTACCATCAAAGCACCGACAAGTGACAGAATTATATTCGGCTTGATCTGACGTTCTCTCTTTTCCACTGATCCTACAGTCGGTTGCTGCAAAACAGTTTGGACACAATCGATAATGACTCTCAATTTTGACAGTTTTTATGAGAGAACCTGATTCTGTCGAGCAACATCTCTGGAACTCTATCGGAAGCAACATCGAGCTGTGTCAGTCCTTAAGCGTTATTAGCAGTTGAAAGTAGCGGTCGAGTAAACAGAATAGCGAGCCATTTTCGCTTTTCCTACATGAAACGTGACGCGATTAGGAAGTTTGGCAGGGCGTCGACCCGGGCGCGAAAACCGTTTAGCTAAGTGTTCACAAGTTGACGTGTATCGCTGTAACGTTCCGGCCGGTTCACGAGAGCTCGCTTCGTCCGCGGTACGTGCGGTGTGTCCTACAAAACTTACGGGGAATTAACGCCTGGGCATTTACGACGACCTCTTTATCCGCTAGTACACGCTCGCGTACACGGCGACGCTTTTCACGGCGAGGAACGTCCAAGGAATAGTGAACGCAATAGAGGAATAGCAATTGCATTATCTCGCGCATTTGCACATCGAAGAACCGTATCACCCTCTTTCCGCGAGTACTCGCCTTTACAAGTAATTGCCCGTAACGATCTCGTACGAGCAGCGAATCACGTCTTTCCCGTCTCAGAGGAGGGAGAAGGGGGGAGGATTATATTTTTCTTTTCCCTCAACAGACCAGGTACTCGAAACTGAAAACTCTCTTTATCCTTATTTGAGGTACTTATTGAGCTGATAGTAAACAGCAAAAAGCACGCTACATTTACCACGGAGGTGTTGGTCGAGTATGTAAAATTCTGCGCAATTTAATACGCGGTAGGAAGTCGAAGCGGAAGCGACGCAAAAAATTCAACGAAGCGCAAGAAAATGGAAACGCGCTAAACCGATGGTTAGAGGTAGACGGACGTGCTCGTAATACATGAATTATATGCATCCTTCGCCTTGAACTTGAACGAGCAAACGTGAAATAACAAGAATAACAATCGCGCGCTCGTACGCTTCCTCGTATTCTTACGAAACTTGTCGCGAAACTCGTGTCCGTCAAAAAGAACATCCGTTTGTGATGCGATCGTGAGACGTTAAACGATGCCGTGCTGCCGATAATTGTCGCTTCATCGCCACGATTATTTTTATCGCGCGCGAAACGGATTCGCGCGGATTCGTGCTCATCGAGAGCATCCCGCTGCCAACCCAGCGAAGATTAGCGTGCCAATTAGCGCGCCAATTCAATGAATATTCATTCGACGGACGCTCTTGCAGTGCGCTCTTGCAGTGCGCTCTTGTCAGTTCACTTCTTTCTTCAAACTGAAGTATTATTATTCTGCAGAAGCGACATTTATCATTATCACAATATGCGAATGTAATGCGAATATAAATGTGCAAATATAAATTCTACGCCCGACGTCTCGCACGTGAGAGATATTTTTCCTAATTCTGATATTTCTCCTAAATTAGTTCTCGTTTCGTGTGTCACGAAAGTCAGTCTCTGCGTTTCGACGTTCGTCACGTTTCGTCAGTCGTTTAACTGAAACATTCTATCGGGAAATTCATCGACCGTATTTCAACCGCGTCGCGATAGGTTTTCACTACAAAATTCGCCACGACCCAAAGGCGCGCCATGAATTCCGCCGTCGACTGTCGAATGCATTCTGAATTCTCGATCCCGGTGGAGTTTACGGTACACAGCGGAGCGCGCGCGCGCTCGCACGTCCACGTCGGGAGTAGGTGACAATGACGATGCCGAAAAAGACGCCACGAGTATACGAAAGAGAGTCGTGGCCGATGGAGAACGCGATCCTCGCGGACAGGAAGCTACCACAGGTGTAACGGTACCGCACGACTACTTGGTGGAGGCTACTTTTGAAGGCTTCGCGCCATCGTCTCGATAAATATAGAGACGAGCCTAACGTCATAGTTGAGCGACACGTTTCCCGACGCGAAACATCTTTGGTGACCCAGAGAGAACCCAAACGAGACGGATCGCGCTGTGCTTCTGGGCGAGCTTCAAAGTCCAAATTCAAATGGGTCAACCGTTTGTCAAATACAATGACCTCGTTGCGACCTCCGAATTTGTATATGCTCGACTAATTATCGCGCACTGTACTTTCTCCGAGCTTTAACAATATCAATTTACGCACCAAGGCAAAACACTCAAATCGTGTATAACGACAATCTCTTGAATCACTCACTCGCTCGGCTGAGTCACAGGAGGAATTTAGTGATCGCATATAATTAACCAATTCGAAATCGAAATTATTCTTCCTCGCCAATATCTCTCACGTCTTTCACACTTTTCCGCCACGTGGTGGTATTTGGGCCTTGCAAATGTTAGTTAGTTAGACTTCATTGACGCAAAAAATGAATCATTTGGCAAATCTACGCTGACATCTGAGGAAGGCATTGAGGCATTGAGTTTGTCATTCAGAAAAATGTCGCCCTAATTGTTCTTATCGAAATCAACCTGCGAAGCGAATCCACGCTTAACCATTGTTGATAGCAACGGTTACACAATCGTTAATGCGCTGATAAGAGTTACGTGATCACGAGTAGCATTTTCCAGTATCCCACGATTAACGGCCCCTTTATCGAACGCTTGATACGCTGCGATTACAGTTACAAGATAAGGAGGTTTTGCATGCTTCGCACGCGTCAGTCCTCAAAAGCCTTCTCAAGCCTCTTCGAAATCCGATGCTTGTTGATGGCGATGTTTGTTCTTAGCTCAACTTGTGCGCGCATCTCGTTCGTAGTGAAAACAAGTATCTATGGAAGAAGGATCTATGGAAAAGAAGCGATAATACGTGATTATACGCATGAGAAATATTCCTCTCCTTACGTCACGCGCGCTCGCGCGCACGGCAGCATTACGCGACACACCCGTCACCGCGTTCATAGATCTTCCGTGGATCAAAGCCGCAGGATGAGAATCTCCTCCAACCAGGGATGATTCATGTACCGCAACGATGCGGATACAATGGAAATTGCGGACAGGATAGAGCGGGCTCATCCCGTCATAAGAGCAGACCTCACCGCGAGCGACGTAATGTGGGTAATTCGTAATGAGGACTTGGCGCATTCCTCAACATTGCCCGCTTTCTCTACTCGTCTCACTCGCTCCTTCTGCCGACAGGCGACAGGAGATTTCTCTGCCGCTCGTCTCGCTTCGATCCTTTCGCCTGCGTCAAGTCTGGTTCGAATCGCCATGGACGAGCCGCCATGGCGGATAATTTACATTGAAACGATCATTAGCACCTTCGAGCTGTGCTCTCTGTCGCGAATTCAAAATAGAAAAAAAAAGGAACAACTATAGATACACACAACTGTATTTATCGTTTTCAATTGTTTCTCGCAGTATCGAGTTGCATCGTCGAAATAAAATTATGCAAAGTATGAATCGCGCGATCCCCGACTTTGCGTTCCTCTACAGTGCATTCGTACAAGCGTACAGACATGCCGACATTAGCACGGGGAACGAAGAACCTTAGGCAGTGGAGGCAACCAGCGGGAGATGAACGGTACTTTTCTCGGAATAAAATTATACCTAGTGCTACCTCGTGTTGATTACATAATCAATGCCTCGCACGTATCACCGAGTAGAAGCTTCGCTCGCCGCAGTCAGCCATGTTTGTAACCGCTCATTGAAAAAAGGAAAAGAGAGGAAAAAGGGGAATGAAATAAGTAGAAAGGGAATTGCAGTCGAGTAGAATATGCGAGAAACGAAAGTTTCTTGTAGCGTTGCATGACGATAAAAACGAAGGAAATTGGAGAAGAAAGGAAAATTCTGAAAATGTCCTTATTGTAAATGACATAAAATCTGAACGTGATTGAAAACGTCAGGTATCTCGCCTCGATTCCAATTTACAAGAAGGTTTGACAATTGGAAGGGAAATATATTCTTATCGCGCGGTTATATTGCAACACAGTGGTGTAAATCGATCGCGACCGTCGACATTCCGCGGCGAACTACGTGATGCGAGCTATGGAGCAATCGATAAAGCACAGCATCCGGCCACGTAAAAAGATACGTTCCTCGCGTGCTTGGTTGCGTGAGCTAATAAGCGATGTGAATGACTCGAAGGTATTTAACCGCTGCAAACATTGTTCGCGCTAGAAACTCGGTTTACTTGCCGGCCGCAACGGAATATATCTCGTTCTCGAAACATTCGGCGTATCTGGAAAACATATACGTGTATCTTTCCAAATGCGCAATGCGATGCGTGTATCTCTGATCTTAATCAGAGCGTGAATCTACCTATCGGAAAGCACGTGGAAAGTGTATCGAAAGTATATACGCGCATATAGCCGACGATCGAGCCGACGATCGAATGTCGTTGTCGTGCGTAACCACAACGACGATATCGGCCGCTTCGTTGTAAAGCTCGCAAAAAACCACGCGAGATTCGACATAAAGTTACACCGTAAATTCACGGAAAATAATGGAAAATGCGATAGTGTGAGGGGAGTGTACGAAAAAAAATAAAAACAAAGAAGGAAAGAAGATTAACGCAACACTGGTTGCGGTAAAGCAGAATGCCACGGGATACGCGGTAAACGGACCCACGCGGAGGAAAAATAGCCGTGATTCCCGTACCTCCCTCGTTTTCGCTCGAAGGAGCCTGCAGAGCAGTTTCCGCGTGGCCGTCGTTGGAGAATTCACCGATGCCGAGCAACGAACTGGCAATCGAGCGGCGGCTTTTAAAGTAAAGCGCGGCACGTAAAGTATTGTAATTGAGAGGAATGCCACGGAAATGAAAGAGAAACGAAAGACACGAGTGTGTCGACCGCAAAAGCCCGGCCCGACTTTTCGTAATCTTTTTGTATTTTTCGAATCAAATCGAATTGTAACGTTATCTAAGACATAATTGACTAGATTTTGATGCAATCGAGGACGGCTAGGAAAAAGAAACTTTCTCGCGTGTTATTCGCGTGCTCGCACAAACATTTTCACGAGGACGGTAAATCGGCCAGACTTGGCTGAACGAAGTGTGCATGCAAAATTGCCGGAACGGAGAGGAAAGGGCAGATGGAATGTAGCGAATGAGGTCGCTGCCGTTGAAGGCAAGCGACTGGGCCCCCGGCACCGCCTGGCAAGTTGCCTTCGAACGCCACGGAAAACGAGGCCCATTCACATTCCCAGAGTGACTAATCCGCGCTATCCCGTCGTACGCTCCTGCAGCTCTACGCATCGCAATGGATCGTATCGTGATATCGGATAACTCAATCATCACGCTCGGAAATGAAGATAGCTGACGCGATTTTAGCTGAAGCAGTCTCGTTACGATTTACAACTCATGTTTTTTTATCCATATCATATTTTATTTATTAAAACGCACCAATGTGTAACATTGGGCACACACAGTCTCAACGGTCGTCTCGATACTGTCTATATGGCACTCAACAACTTAAAAAAGAGTTAACGTTAAGAAGAAAAATTCATTTGTGAGACAAGTTAGAATTTTACACAACACGATCTCAATTCCCCATTCCCCTTAAGCTTGAATGATGTCAATTTCAGCCTTTTCATAGTATAAATTGCAATTGTAATTCACTCTGCTGGTACTTGTCAATGTTACAACTAAATAAACAAATTTATACAATTTTTGCGATTGATGACGTCATGCACACTTGACGAAGAGACGATAGCACGGATCGTCCGCTCGGACCAAGTTTATAAGCGGTTTATTATTCCGCATGGTCACCCACGTTTCCAGATTCACTCGAATCGTGTAGAAATCATCACGAGACGGTACAACCGGCTCACTCGAGATTCGGCTTTCGTGATCGATAGTCCCGTTCATATAACCGATCTCTTTGCATGCGGTGTTTGCCTCCTCTGATGTCACTGGTGCCGAGAAACATTGGGAGTGCCATACACCGTAGGAACGTTGCAGCACTTCTCTCATACCAGATCTGGAAAGTAATTTAGCAAACTTACAGCTGTGACAATGATTTTCATAAATTCACTTGATGTCTGAAAAATACTGTCATCACATTTTGATTTGATTTTTTGATAGCCAGCTTATATGAAACAACAATAGTTTGTTGAAATTCGTACAGACAAATACGGTGTCATATCATATGTGATAAAATTATCTTGTATAGCACTCGTTACTCGTCGTTTACTCACACACACACACACACACACACACACACACATATATATACACACGATTAAAAATCGAATGTCGAAGGAAATATTACTTATTATCCGCGGATTCGTACAACTTTCTGCATCGCTCTTCATCTCGGCCGTTTGGACAGTCCTGATCGCCATCACACACGAAATCTTGAGGGATGCAGATGGAGTTTCCGCTTTCTCTACAAGTAACATATAAAGCGCGCATTAATGTGATTACTTTGATTACAATAATTGTCGCAGAACAACACCGAAAGCGTCAAAGTTTAAGATACACGAGAAAAATTTGACGTGAGAGAGAGAGAGAGAGAGA